GCACAGAACTATGTTGACTAGCATTAATTATATTCCTATATTTTAATAATTTATTAATTGAATCTCTTTTCAGTTTTCCTATTATTTCTCTCGGGAATGATGTTGGGCTAAGCAGCCTGGGAATACAGATGTCATCTGCTTGCTCTTAGTGGAACACCAAGAAAGATGTAGCACTACTGCTTAATGGAATCAGTGGCAATGTTCATTCCTTCTTTAGGTCCCGTAAATAGCTACTTTTTTCTTAATTTTGACATGCTATATATTCTTTTGCTAGAAGAAGAAAAATTCCATCTGCAAATTGTGAAGTAAAACAGTTTGTGTAAATAAACTACTGAAGGTCTAGCTATGTCATTGTGCAATATATTAGAAATGAAAGCAAACTTAATGTGAATATGGGAAAAGATGTTACACAACTGTACTGCAGTGTTACAACATGATGATGTGTGCTCAAATTAGAAAGAGCAATTGAAGAAGTCTGAATATGCATCTGTAATTCTGAAAGGCTGTTATGTTCTTGTTCCCAGAACTGGCTTGTCAGTGAGATATAAAATAGAAATAGGTACAGTCAGTTTCCTGTGCACTGGGATCTTTTTCTGGGATCAAAGTTTTCATTTCTGTTTTGGCTTTGTGGAACTGGTGGAGTTATAATATTTGCATTTGTCTTGGAGGCTTTTGATTCCCTTCATGCTTGAAGTTTCTGGTTCTGAGTAGACTTTAAATTCACTGTGTTTAGGAAAGCCAGATATTAAACAAAAGTGGTGCCTAGAAGGGAGTGGATAATCTATTAACTGCTAAATTTTATGCCGTCCTTCATTCCTCAAATAATCTTAGATTAGCATTTAAAGTACATGGTTACAGCTGCTGCAAGACAATGTCTGGGAGGAGAACCAGCACTTCATCTGCACAAATTCATCACCTTGCTGCACTTGGCAGATGTGGTATCAGGAGCTCTTGGCAGGAAGGGCCAGGTAAGCCACTACACCATGGGCTAGAGCAGATGTAGCAGTAGAACAACATTGAGCCCTGGGCTGTGTCTGAGCTTTGTCTGAGCCAGGCTCTGGATCATTAGGTGGTCCCTGAGCGCCTATTGTTTGCTAGCTATTATTAGAAATCAGACATATCAACAAGCAAGGCCATCCATCTCACAGAACAATAGGATGGCAGAAAGGCATTTAATAGAAAATGGTCTGCTGAGAGCTTGAAGATCTGGTTTATCAAATCACACTGCTTAATTTTTGCCAGAGATGTGAGTCCAGGTTCCACAGATGTGCCAGATTATTGGATGCACTATCCTGAAAGAATTTCAGGGTCTTCCTTCATGCTTTTCTGCTTCAAACAAAGGACTAAATATTCACTGACCCACAGAGACAAAATAAAGAAGGTAACCCTATATTCAGATTGTTGTGGAAATAAAAGGTTCATCAGCATCAACATCCGAATCTTAAAATTACAAATAAACTCTAGTAAAATGTTGTCACAGATTATGGGAATTCCTCAAAAGATTCTGAATTGAAAAATTGGTCTCCCAGCACTGCTGGAGGATATCATATTAGGATTATTGGGCAAAAATTAAAAATTCTTCTACTCTGACTACTCTGGAAAATCTTTTTTCCTTTTTGGTTTTTTTTTTTCTTTTTCTGAGAACGATTGTGTTTTGTGGCTCTAAAACATGTCCATGATTAAGGTCTCTAAGCAGCTAAGTCTATGTTGATCTTGGTTATTTTACTTGTGAAATTACTTTATGTGGAACTGATCTTTCAGTCTTTTGCTTTTTTGAATTTATTTCCCTGAACTTCTAACCTGACACCATTCTTTTTTTGCCAGACTTGATAATGGTTATTTATATTTTCTATATGTAGACTATCAATTCAAATTTCCCCATCTCTTTTTAGATTTCTTTTACTTTAGGTTCTCAGGGCCTTGTCCAGAAAAGTGTTGAAAATTTCCAAGGATGGAGATTCCACAGCCTCTCAGGGCAACTGTGTGTGCCAGTGCTTAAATGCTCCTTGTGCATCAATAAAAGGAAACTCAAAATCAGGTCAAAGTTTAACATTTGCAATTTTTGCAATACTTACTTAAAAGAGTTAAAGTCATCTGCAATATTCAGAAAATCTAAGTTGAAACTTACCTTCATACCACTAATGAAAGATATAAGAGAAGTCATTCAACATCCCAATGGAGGATAAATCAGTCATACTTGGAATGAGACACTGGACTCTCTGGTTTTATAAAATTATGAGGATTTGAGTTTTTACTCCTAGTTTACACATATTATATGCACAGTTCTAAAAATAAGTTCTACTTTTAAAGAGCTTGACTTGAACTCTCAATATTCCTTTCTCACAGTATGAATTCCCCCCCCAGTCCACTTTTATTGTACATTAACAATATAATTTTAAAAATAGGTTTCCCATTCTGCTTTGTCTCCACATTGTGGTTTGAGTTTAAAAAGTGCTTTATTTTAGCAGTGAGTATTAAGACTTATTTAGAATATATGAAGATGAAAACCAGGGCATAGATCTATTTTTAACCTCCAAGATTCTGCTTTGTAATGACTGTGACTGGCACAGTAAAGGGGTGGAGGGGTTTGCAAAACCACAGCAACACAGATCCTGTCAGCAAAGCTTTACTTCTTTTTCTGCCTGTGTAAGTTCAGGACAGGATATAATCACTGAAAGATTATCACACTAAATAAGCACTTCTGATAAACGGTTTTTTACCTAATCAGCCGTTAGCTGAATGTCTTGCTCAGATCTCCCCTTTGCCCAGTGGGATAGCCCTGTGGTGGTGCACTAAGAAAACAGGATGCAGAGAGATTTTGGTCTGCCACTAGCAATCTGGGGCCCAGAGGAAAAAAACAAGCCTTTGACTTTTCAGCAGTTTTCTTGTAGCGGACCTATAAAAATTCCTTATTAAAAACACATTTAAAACAAGGTAGTATAGATCTTGGACACTGCAATTTTCTTATGTTTCCCATTTAATTTGAAGGTATACAATATTCTGAATTTTATGTTTCAGGTAGGCTTGTAGAAATTCTAAGGCAGAAATTCACTGCTCGTTACAAGGAGTTCATCATCTTCATTAAAGATAAAAAATGAGTAGGGGTGAAATGCAGTAAATGCAATTGTGGCCTGTGTGTTGATCCAGTTCCCATTTATGCCACATAAAGAATCTGTGTTTTCAAAGCTGTTGATTGCAGGGTTCTGCACTGCTGGAAAGAGATTTTCATCAGTTTAGGTGCTGCAAGGCTCTGGGCAGTGTCACCCTGTGTGGATTCTGTCAGTGAGTGTAGAGCCCAGCACAACCATGAATTGTCCAGAAAACTTCTGAAAGAGGAACAGACATTGAGGGTGCAGAGAATCCTTGCTCCAGCCATCCAATGGCACATATTTGTTTTCCTTAATATATTTAATTTTGCCCCAAAATGATATTATAGTTAAACTGGCATGCGATAGATTTCATTGGATTGTCATTTAGCAAAATATTTGAGTATATAATTTTCAATATGAGCTTAAGTATGAAGGACTAAATAGATGCATAAGTATCTGAATTATTTATGGTTTTACATGTATGTATGGTTTTACACATCATAAATCAGAGCTTAAACTAACTGCATTACACACTTTCTAAAACTGTAAAAAAAATCTAAGTTAATACAAATAATGATGCAAGTAAATCCCAAATATATGTGAAAGTTTTGCAATCTCATATATTATGCATACCTTCTTGACATAAATCAGGGGAAATTCCAAACAGTGTATTTAAGATTTTATACCAATTTTTAATTGAATATTATTTAACAACTTTAGGGTTTACATCAAAATAATCAATCTCATATTCATTACTGCATGGCTTAGTCTTTTTTATATGAACTTAGTTTAAAGAAATTAGTTTAAAGAAACATAATTAAAATTATATTATAATGGTTAAAATAAAGTAGGTACTGCAATATGTACAAAAACATGATTCAGATGAAAATTACTTTTAAGGCTATCTATCTCTGCTTATGTATTTTAGGGGAATCAAAAAGGAATTTGCTTAAATGACTAAATATTTTTCATAAAATAGTCTTCAAAGTTTTCAAAGCAATTTTTGCTATTATTTAACAAATATCAATCATGCTTACAGAGGCCACTTGAGAAAAATTTATGATAAGACATTTGTTGCCAGTCATGCCATGGGAAGAGAAGAGAGCCACAGGGCTGAGCTGACAGCAAGGTTTGTGTATGAAGTGCTCCTCTGGTAGATAAACTGCAGGAATGTGACATTGATCTGAAATGGGAGCTGTTTGAAGTGGCAACTCTCAATCTCTACAATCAAAGGATGACCCAAATTCTTACTCCATCAGCCATTTTGGCATGACCACTCAGTTTATGAAGCTCAATCCACTAAAAAGTGTTCTGTCCTCAAGAGGCACTCCAAGAAGTCTGCCCATCTTGTGGATAGTGAGAAGTCATTCAGACTATACCTTGGACTCTACAGCCAAAGTACAGCAATGCCTCATTTTAGTGACTGTAGTTATTACCAAGTGGGGCAAATTGTGGATTGAGGTATGAATGACTGTCCAGTGCTGTTATTATTTAAAATTGATTGGATGATATTTCTCTGTGTATTTATTTACTCTTTCATGTACAAAAGAGTCAACATTAATTTTAGAGTTCATATATGCATGTGGATTTGATTGCAGTGATCTCAAGAGAGATCACTTTTAATTGAGAAAAAAGTGTAGCATATTTCTGGTCTTTTCTCAGGAACATGGTTATCTTTTCAAATTCTGTTCTTCTTTATAATTATTCAGAGTGCTTGTTCAGCTGTGTAAGGGGGAAATGGTAAAGAAATAAAAAATGTGTAAGTGTGTAGAAGTGAGAAAAAAATTAATAATTCTATCCAAGTGTTATTAAAGCTGAATCTATTGATTTGAAATATTTTTAAGTGAGCATATGTATAAATACTGATACTAACAACTTGAAACTTCAGCAATTATTTCTATTCTTTCCCAGGTACAAACCCACTTGGAAAATCAGTCCAGGTACCACCTCCAGCCGGGCCAGCGGCACCAGGTGAAGCAGTACGTGGCCCTCGACGCCAAGCTGTCGGGCCAGGCGCCCACGGTGCAGCCGCTGGGGGTGGCCTCCATCCTGCGGGGCGCCCCCATGGCCCCCGTGAGCGCCGGGGAGAGCCCGGTCACCAAGCTGCTGGCCCTCGGCGGCCAACACGAGAATGCGGTACGAGGGCACAGAAAGGGGAACTGGGCTCTGTCTGCTTCTACACAATTTTTACAGCACCCTCCTTGCGCTACAAGTGGGCAAGAAATGACTTTCTTAACTTTCAAGGGGTTATGGCACTTGCTTTCCGTCTCCTTTTGAATTATGTGGGTTGTTCCCTTGTGTGCCTGTGAATAGCTCACTGCAGGATCAAGCTTTTAGACTGCTGCCGGATAAAATGTGCTGTTCCATCTTTTTACATATACATCATACGTTACTGTACATTTTCTGAATATGCACTTTGCAAAGAAAAACATTTTTTTCAGATGGGAGTTGTTTCTGTCTGAAGGTATTAACCTAGCTGCATAAAAAAATGTTAAATACAGATTACCTTCAATACATATCTGTAAAAATCACTCACTCATTTTTCAGTTAGCTGCTACGTTTTTATGTGGGTTATCTTGAGTAAATTGGCAAAGATATGCTAACTTTAGTGCCACCATTGATTTTAATAGAGGTTCAGCTATAATACAATATCAGATTCTTATCCAGTATGAGATGTAGGTCATTATGGCTTTTAATACTTCAATAGATTTCAAAAGAGACTGTTTATTAGGTAAGAGGGGAATTCCTACAGAAATGAGAAATGAAGATGCTGTATCATGTCTTGGACTTCAATAGAACAGAAGAATCTTACAAATACACCATGACTCATTCGAGCATTTGGATGTAATGTAGCTAAGCATGAGGGAGCCCATAAAGCTTCCTGGAGAGCTCATCTGGGGCCTCTCCATTCCTTCTGCATTGACAACTGACATTTTGAGTCAGGTTTATGGATTACTGGAGCTACTTAAAAATGCTATTTTAAATGGCTTTTGTGGACACCTATGTGACCACCTCCATGCTGGCAAAGTGCAGTGTGCTGAAACTGTTCTCAGGCATTTTGGGTCTGATCAGGAGCCTGCCCTGTACCCTTCTCCATCCTGGTGAAGACTGGGAGGGTGATACCTGGCACTGGCAAGATCCTGGCAGCTTTGCAGTGGTTTGGACAATCTCATCTCAGACTCAGGGGGATGGATTGGTGTCACAGTGTGATTTCTTAATGTGGGTGTGCCCTGTGGTTAAGAGTAGGCTATAGATATATTAGTAAATAATATAGAGCCAGCACCCAGGTTGGTGCAGTAAACTGCACTCCTTCATATTGCTTAATTGCCAGCATTTCTTTTAATTTTGGTATAATTTTGGCCCTGATGATGCTTTCCTAGATAAGTCTGGGCGCAAGTGCTGACACAGTAGTTCTGTGTTCTCTGATTTTAGAGAGGGAGAGGAATGCATGCATGAGCTGTGCTGGGCCATGTTGCCAAAAAGTCCGTGTTGAAAGGCCCCATGTCTGTGTGATACTTTCGTTGCACAGGACCATCTACAACTTCAGCTCCCAAGAGCTGCAGATAATAAACTTAAAAGTGACATGCTTATCATGGGATGTCCCCCAAAATTATATTGTGAATGCAACCAGATCATAATCATCATTGAAAACTCATGTTGGATTTTGACCTATATGTATCTATAGGCCTTCAAAGTACTCATTATTTCATCCCAAGTAATTATTGAGATGCCTCAGTAGTTTTTGGCTCAGATTAGATCAAAACAGAGACCAGAAGGCTGTCTGGAAAAGTATCCAGTGTACTGCTAAACAAAGAAACCTCTACCTGCCCAAGAGAGCAGCATGTAACACCAAACCTGGAGTGACTCACGCAGCTGCAGAACCACAGGTTCCTTCCAGTCTTCCTGCACCAGTGCAGCAATGCACTGTGATCAAGATGACATTTGATGAAGGTGATAGGTCACAGTTACAGCTTAACAATGCACTCCTGTCATCTGATCATGGGGCTGCAATAAGGGGTTAAATATGAGCATGGGCTGGTGTTTAAGAGAAAGATGTATCTTGCTAAACCACAACTGTTTTCACAAGAAGTAAATGTGAATATTGTATAGAAGTGTTTGAATTATTTGAATTGCAAGATATAGATTTGTGAAATTGTTTCATTGCTGTAATAGCTATTCAAGATTAATCCTCTGTATTTTAAAAATAATTTTTTCCATTATTATTTGTACTGATTTGTCTTAAAATATTATTTTATCAGATGGAAGAAGTTATTGAAGACATAATCAATATGGAATCAAATTTTAATGATGAAGGGATAGGTTGTTCTGAAACTCCTTTACTAATGCAAAGAACTGTAAGTATTTTGTTGAATTTCATCTTGCTTTTTTATACTAGAAAGTTTCTTTGAGTGAGTCAAGCACATCACAATTCAGAGACTAAGGAACAGTATCAGTGGACTGTTCTTCTTTCTCTTCAGCTGATTGCCTTTTTGTCAATAATTATTACAGAAAAGGGCACCAGTGTGGTGACACATGGTTGTTTTATGTGGTCTGAATACCATTTGGGGTGCTAGCCCAGCAAAATGCCTGGCGCATAACCCATTGGAGTTACTGATGTCTCTGCAGGGCTAAAAATAATAAGGATAAAAAAATCTCTGGACCCTAGAAAGTCATTTAAAGCCTTGCTTAAACATCCTTCTACCGCAATTAAAAAAAAGTTTAAAAATCACCATGTAATAGTTTCTATAGTACAGTGGTGTCTTATCCAGAAGCAAGGCTCTAGTTCTGGATTTTCATACAGATAAGTTGCATTTAGTTGAACAATTTCAAGGACAAATAAGAGGAATGTTATGTCTTCGCAATAATTAATTTAACAAACTTCAATTTTATTATGTCTCTTTGTGGATAAATGTGAGAGGACTAACAAAGACTATTTATGTTTCCATATATGTTACATATTGAAAGAGGAAGGATGGAGCTCTTCTGACACAAACCCCAAAGAGTGCTATTATTTATGAAAGTAATTCATATCAATACCTGTAATGCACTTTACAGAAGGATGTATGTTGTCCTTTCTACCCCAGCTGATGTCCAGAACTGTTTGTCCTCAGGGCTTTGTACTGTGCACCGGTAAAGGGGAGCTTCCCCCTGATGAAGGCAGGATTGTCGCAGGCTTTGACAATCCGCCAAGGGCACCTCAGGATGCAGTCAGGCGCTGGCTCTTTATCGCCCTCTGGGGGAACAGCTTTTTCCGATTTACAGAACTTCCCTGGCTCCAAAAATACCTCAGGAGACAAGATCGCTACTCTTCTGTGTGGCCCACTCTACAGTCCAGCATTAATGCCAATGAACATTTCCATGAACACCTTCTATTTGCATTCCAGCTACAGAGCAATTGCAGCTGGACTGATTTACACATATGTCTGTACAGAACATAGCAAGGAAATGGTCCCTGGGGAGTGAATTAATATTTTGGCTCAAATTGATGTGAGGCAGGGGAGGATAATTTCTGGTATGATAGCGTGGGATGGTGATGAGAGGCATGAATTCTGGGTTTTGGGTTGAAGTCATACTCCCTTCAAAACCTTTTAAAATTGGATGATGTTAATCTGTCCTAATTCCAGGTTCATTAGCCTTTATCTTCAGCCTTGAAGGACATTTGTCTCTAAAATTTATTGAATACCTTACTCTTGATGAGGAAGGAAATCTGCAATGTCTTTTAGACCTTGATGGAATTGTACTTGCACAGATTTGGGACTCCTGAAGTGCCTCTGGGACAAGTAATAGTGTTTGGACTTTCATTTGTGCTGAGGAAATCAGCAGGCTTCTAGGTAAGCCAGAGAGTAGCACACATTTCTAAATTGCTCTGTTCAATAAAGTGGCAAAATAAAGCTTGCCTTCAGCAAGGCAGAAAAACTGCATCAGAGTGAGGAAATGGAGTGGTGTCTCTGCTTCTGCTGTCTTGTCTTTTAGCATTTTATACTTCTAAAATATACAAAATAATTAGTCATATGGAGATGATTTCAGGCATTTAGCTCATGCCACTTGCTTTTAAACCATCTTTCAGGCAACATCCTAAATCTGCCAGCAAAATTTTGGTCAGAAGCTGTGCAATAGAGAAAGATAGAGGCGCATGTAGAAAATAATTTTTATATATCCAGCTTTTCATTATCATATCAAACATAATGAAATTTCTTTATCTGAGCATGTATGTGTTACAAGAGTATTGGACTAGGAGGCATGATCAAGAGTGAGAGAACATCTAATTTCCCTGAGATGTGCTGGGTTTGAGCTGTACTTCAGCAAGGACCCACAGTAGCTCTGACATCTGCACAAAGTGCCTGCTGTGGTGGCTGGCACAAACACAGAGAGAGATTACAGGTGAGACTGAGTTGCTTCTGTATCTGGCTGATTTTGGCTTTCTCTTTAAAATTCTCCAGCATTATTCCTAAGTATTTCTAGAATTTTTTAGACTTTCCTTACTTGGGACTTGATTTTGCAAACTGTGCAGAGTAATCTCTGAAATCCTGAAATGAACTGACTTGGTTTTCAGAATGTGGTGAAAGGCTCAGGTATTTTTCCAACAAAATCTTTTTTTGAAAAAGATAAATTCATGATGCCATTTTTCTGTCTCAGTGTGTTCTCAATGGCTTACTCAGTGGCTGAGTAATCTTTCCACTTTTTACAGTGCAACCTGTTGTGTGCTGCAGTGAACTAATGTTTACTTTAGTTAAGTGCACCCATGTACCTTTTTAATGGCACATTAAATGAAGACATTGAATTCTGTGAGACCACTCATGTGAATAATTGCTCAAAGGCTCATTGTCTGACCCTGAATTAATGAATTACAGTTATGCATTAGTAGAATCAGAGAAGTGAAAATAAGAACATTCCTCCATCTCTCATTAAAATAATTACAGCTTCTGAGGAGTGGATTATCTGGCTTGTGGACCCAAATTTACAATTTCATGAAACTGTCTGGTTTTGGGTGGTCACTTAAGAATTGCTTAAACTAGGGAATATTCTGGTTGTCTTTCTATTCAGAAATACCCTAATGGCAGAAACCTACTTTTTATAACAATCTTCTATAAATTCAGTTAAAATAGGACTAGTTTTCTCTACATGCAAAAGGTCTTGATTCCTCTGAAAGAATTTGTAAACCAAATTATATCTTTGTTGATAAAGCATAATTGAAATAAAATCATATCTATTCTTATGAACTATCATGTAATGACAACTGTTTGTTCATTATGGAGAAGGTAAGACAACTTAAAAAAGACACCATTGAAGACGGTATCAATTTAAAGTAATTTTTCCTTGTTGCAATAATTAAATGTTATGAAATTTTAATTAACAGACAGCAGCGTATTTTTTTTTATAAGACAATATTTTTCTCTAAGTATATATTAGGAGCAACATCTGACCATGTAAGAATAATTAAAAAAAATGAAATAATCAGAGTATTGTTGAGTGTATATGAGTATATATGAGTGAGTTTTAGAAGTAAACTACTGACATGCTTACTTCTAAACATTTATTTTTCAAATGTCTATCACCTACTGACATGTAGGTCAGATATGGTGACAGACATTTGAAAAATAAATACTTTTCATTTTCATAAGAAATTCATTCTTATTCAAAATCCTTACACTCTATTTAACATAGTGAAATTAAAGTATTTTAGTCCTTCCAAATGTCCAGAACACAGGGAGTTTAGATGTTTAGGTCTGTTAATACAAAGCATATATCACACCATCATTAATAGTTTAGGGCATGTATCGAAAAGTTCTACTCTATATTGTTTTTAATATCAGCAAAGAGAAAAATTAAGAAACATATTAAAGCAGATGTTGAGAACATTAGTCACAGTGAAGAGAGGAAAGAGCAGAGTTAGGAAAAACACAGAAATTAGTATTTCTGTATTTTTCAAGGTGTAATTTAACAACATGTGATCTTATGAATCACTTCTTTGCACTAAATGTTGTTTTGCTTTGATAATATACATATGCAGCCCTAGGACTCACCAGTAAACCCAGTAATCTAGCAACCACAGTGGAGATCTGTATGAAAACAGCTGGCAATTTACCAGTAATTTCATACAGAAATAACTGCCGCAGTCCAAATAGTCCCTGTACAACTGGGATGATGCTCTCTGCTTGACATGCAGTCCACTAAAACTTATGGCAAAAGCATTTGGAGATTGACTGGCTTGGAATGAGAATGGAGTGAGAGGAAGTTTATGTTCTGCAATAGCACAGGCCTCTCTTGCACAGACCTGGGTGGGACCAGCAAGAAAAATAATTTAATCCTGTGAACGTTTTCAAGGATTCTAAGTTGCCTTTTTTTCTGGTGCACAAAACATGAGCTTTCAGCACTATTTTTGAAGAAGCCTGGGGTGAGAGGCTCTGTAGCAGTTAGATGGCTGGCAATGAGAGCTAAGAAGTAGTTGCAGAGCAATGCTTCAGGCACTGCACTACCATGAAATTGGATTTCAAAAAGCCGCCAGCAGAGGCCCAGCTGCTGATATGTTGAATCAGTTCAGCTCCATGTTGCTGGAGTAATCAATACTGAATGACTAAACTAAATGAAGCAGTTCATTTCAGATTGGAAGAAAATTGAAAGCTATTTCATGGGAAACCTTTTCATTCAATTTTTTCCCACATCCAGTACAAAATAAAGCCAAGAAAAAAGTTTCCATGTTGATGTAGGAAGAAATTATTTACTGTGGGAGTGGTGAGACATTGGAATGCGTTGCCCAGGGAAATTGTGAATATCCCAACCCCAGTGTTCAAGGCCAGGCTTGATTAAGGCCTCGAGCAACCTGGTTTGGTGGGAGGTGTCCCTGCCCATGGCAGGGAGGGTTGGTGCTGTATAGTTTTTAAGGTCCATAACTATCAATTAACATTATATGATACTATGATTTATTTGTAATATTTAAGAAATGTTTTCTTTAACTATCCCTTTGAACGACCTTAGTAGCAAGAATGTTGAGAAAAGAAAAATTAAACCTGTGCCAGAAAAGAGAAGACAAAGCATCTGGGCATGCTGGAAGTCAGGGGCTGTGCCAGCTGTGAGCTGGGGAAACAGCTGGGCAGGGAAAGATGGCAATGCTCTGTAAAGGTGGTGCCTTGCAATGGGTCACCTCTTCAGGGATCCTTTGAGGCTTCACTGCTTCACTTTCATTTCATGCACTCATAGTTCACTATTTTACCAAGACTGGGAGTTACTGTTTATTTCCAGTCTGCTTGGGAGTCAAGTCAGTGGGATTGCTTCACTTCTGCCACTCTTGCAGGAAAAGATCTTATGGAGAAAATCCTCAGTGCCTGCATGGCTTACTTGTATTTGTTTTGCTCCT